GACGATAACAGGAAATTTTTGGATTATTTTTCACAACACAATATGTGGCACCACTGGTATTTGTCATGAATGAAAACACACAAATTTCTTGAAACTGAAACTGACTATTTTGGATATATTTCAATGTGTACAGTGTAATTAAAAATTTATGAGTTCAAAAATGTGTCGAAATTATGTTAAACATAGTGCAATAGCGTACATTACCTTAACAAGTTTTTAAACTTTAAATACAAATATCTCGAAAACTATGAGACTGAGGCGGGTATGTGTGCATTAATTTTTTAATCCCGAGGACATTCCCTTTTCGTCCCTTCCTTGTCTACGCCTCCGAATCGTAATTTTGCTAAAAATAAGTTTTACAATATTTTGCAATCGAATAAAAAAAAAAAGAATATACCGTCTGACGACCCCCGTTGTTGCACCGACCAGGGTTACTTTTGTGAAGCGCCAAGCTAACGCAGAAAGGAGTTCTCCGCGAACGAACTGAGGACCACGGTATTGGACCGATTAGGATTTTTTTTTTTTTGAAGCACGGACGAAGGCCGCCAATGCATAAAGGAATTCTATGCGAAAAACTAATTTGTTTTATTGTTTTCCTCGTATTATCAGTTTTCTTTATTCCGTTTGGTTCCTTTGTAAAATATGTAGATAAAGTAACACTAATTATTTGTTAGAATGAACCCCTTTTGTTTTTGTGTGAATAAAATTGCTTGAACAATAAGTTAAATATTGAATTAAAGCAATTTCTGCACTATAAATGCAAAATAAACGTGTAAAAACGAATTAGTGAATATGAAAGTAAATATAAAAGTAAACAATTAAAATTTTGAACTTTAAGCGCAAATATTTCGAAAACTATAGGTTTCACCTATATCTAAATATATTCTTGATCTAGAGGACCCCCTCTATGCGCCCATACCCATTTTGACCCTGAAATTCTGGGACGGTATTCTAACCCCGGCCCTTAAATTTAACCAAGGGTTTTATTTAATAATAAAAAACACTTCAGGTATTTCATTTTACAAAATACTACAGTGGCAGTGCGCGGTGGCAGAAAATAAATTCAGTTTCAATAGGTACATAAATTGTCTTATATCAAGCACAGACTATATATATTTCTACATAAACACGCACATAATATTAAAAATGTTTTTTTTTTTTAATTTAAATTTTGGTGATATTCTTCTAATACAATATAACATTAAGGATCACGTCTCGGAATTTAACTTCACTTTATGAAGCACTATTGGAAGCGTTCGGCTGTATTTACATACATATACGACCTCGGCTTATGAACAAATTGATACACAACCACTACATAAACATCCAGTAAACTTTTTCTACATTACACAATATAAATTACGGAAAACTCACATTTAATGGCACAGTATCGAACTCAGTGATTTCTTTTTGCAAAACCAATAGTTTTCCACGTTGTTTCTACATAAAACTCATTTCGTTGAACTCCAAATATTACTACGAAATTGAAAATAAGTTCCATACAAAAATTGCTTTCTTCTTTCGTGAAATCAAATATGGCGTGGAAATGAAGTAAACTACCTCGCACCGCACCGCGACGAATGACAATTTCTGTTGAACGTTTTCGAAAATTCGAACTTCGAAAACGCGTACAAGATAGCCACCGCTTTCTTATAACAGCGACATCTATGTAGTAAAAACCACGTTGACATTTTCTCTTATCTCTTCATCCCTCCTGTATAATAAGAAATATGCAAACAATTGCCAAATGACATTTCGGATCGTTTGTTTTGGCATGACAAGTGGTCCCTCTCCTGCGTTTATATTTTACCAGTAGGAAAAAGAGGTACCACAAAATGTTATTTCTTACTACTAAACACCCGCGATAACATTTTCTTCTTAAAATTGGATAGATCAACAGCACAATACTATTATTACAATACATTTGCTTCATTACTAATTTTTAATTATTAAATTTCCCGGTTATAAACGAAGATTCTTCACAAGCAGTCGCTCAAAACTCAACCTGAAACGACCGTCAGATAGTTTATGTATATATGTTCACAGTGACGTTTGTAATGACAGCTTTTTATATTTGATTCTTTTTTTATATTTTCTTTTTAATCGGTATTCTTCTCGCACTCGCGATATTGTTGCCAGCTGACATTTTATTACCCATTCACAATTAAAAAATAGAAAATTATAAAACAAAAATAAAATGTAGGACTATATAAAGTTTTAAATGCTTCAATTACTATCCATATTCTTTTTTAATATGTGTCTATTAATAATACGTTCAGAATATTTCAATTCAACCAATCATTATGAGTAAAAATTTAACCGTAATGTAATGTAACAACAACAACGATATAAAAATATAAACAAATCTGTACCTAAATTAATTGTTTTATACTCTACATAAAAATTTATTTTTATGGTCTCTCGTCTTCCTTATAACTTGAATAATTAATCATCTAACCAGATCTTTTAAGTTATATTGGTAATAATTTTCTTGTGATATTTAGCGAAAGAAAATATTCCCTAAAAAATCTTGGATAAGTCGGGCTTGTGTGCTACAACAAATATCCTAAATATAAATATAAAATAATTTGTAAATTATTCTCATGCAAAACCGTAGACAATTTTTAAGGACATATGTATGTTTATGAGATATTTATTTTACTGAAATTCAATTAAAAAAAAGAGAATATTTTAATAATATATGTTTATAACAAGATAATTATACGGTTATTTTAATTATATAAGAAATTTTGTGAAAAGTTTTCAGTACGGCAATATTTATATTAACCGTCATTTATTACTTTTCCATTTTTTGCGTCATTTGAGCGAGTTTAATCTATATGAGTCACTAGGAAATTACTTGTTTTTATTGAAATTTCGATTTTAATTATTTCTTATTCACTAACATTGTATTTATTTAAGTATTAAAAATGTTCTCTAGTGGACCCAACTATACGAAATTAAAGACAAACCTTCGTCTTGCTTTAAATCGCCTAAAATTGCTTGAAAAGAAAAAGGCAGAATTAGCTCAAAAGGCTCGTAAAGAAATTGCTGACTATCTGGCTACAGGGAAAACTGAAAGAGCTCGTATTCGTGTGGAGCATATAATTCGGTAATTAGATAAATTAATTAACTATAATATTTGATTTTATAATTGTGTGCCTTACCGAAAAGTGAGGATTATCTTGTGGAAGCTATGGAAATAATAGAAATGTATTGTGATTTGGTGCTTGCGCGATTCGGATTAATCACCCAGATGAAAGAACTAGATGATGGCATAGCTGAAGCTGTATCTAGTTTGGTTTGGGTATGTCCTCGTCTGCAAAGTGATGTAGCTGAACTCAAGATAATTTCCGACATTTTTGTTACTAAATATGGTCCCCAATTTGCGGAGCATTCACGCACTGCTACTGGAGAGCATCATGTGTCCGGAAAATTAATGAATAAACTTCAACTACAAGCACCACCGAAACTTCTTGTTGAAAAATATCTAATTGAAATCGCAAAAAATTATAATATTGAGTATGAACCCGATCCACAAGTTATGCAGGAAGAAACCCAAAATGGTTTGTAAAGTTATACGATACCAGTGGTTGTTTACCTTTATGTTAATGTTTATTAGGAGCTGAGGTACAAGCACATTTGATTGATTTATCGGATAGAAACAATCTTGGCGGCGGTGTAGCCGTGGGACCACCCCCACAAATGGGATTCATCGGATATCCGTCACTTCCCCCATTACCTGATCCACCAGCAGCGAAACCATTCAATTATCCACCACCATATGGTCAAGGGTCTGAGGGTGGTGTTAGTGGTATTTCAACCAATGGAGTGCACCCACAACATCCATTTTCTTACAATATACCTCCAACACAATCTGGTTATGAGCAAAAGGATTTAAATACTTCATTTATAAATGTGAGTATTTAAACGATTGACTAATCAAAAAATATTACAATTGTACAAAACTGCATGAAAATTTTGTTTTGTTTGCTTTTATAACACAACTTACCTTACTGCAATAACATATATAGAATGAGTTGACCAATGACCTTTCGTCAAAAGCAGCAGAAGGCGCAACTTCTAGTATTTTCACCGAAAACATCCCTGATGAAAATATTTTGGTATGATTACATACACATATTTGATTGACTAGCATAACTTAAAGTAGTATATTAATGTTATGTCAAAAGACCTCGTTTAGTTTATATCACTGTTTATTATTTATTAGCTTTTTCATGCTTTCTACTAATTTTAATGTTATTTGGACAAATCGTATCAACATCATTAATATATTCGTATTACTAGTATATGTTGAATGGTATAATTATAAATTGGCTTGCATATATCGCTAATTTCAATCATCTTGTTTTAAGTTGTTGCGTCTTTTTTGTATTCCATCTATATGGATCAATTATTATTTTGTTATTTTATGAATAATTTGCTGTTTTTTTTTTAATTTTTTTTCCTAAAACCAGCGTCCTAAAACTTACGATGACCCCCCACCGCGATATACATCAATTAATCCTGTAAATATTCAGGTAGTTTTCTTTACCATTTTAGTTTTTATAATTTTTGCCTTTTTGATTGCAAAATATATTGATATATGGTATACGCTATTGTTGTACTCTATAGCGTAATTCAAACCATCGGGCGTATAAATCAGGGATATCTTTTATTTAATTTCAGGACCAAAATAAACCAAAACCACAACCGCGACAAAAATTGCCGCCCCCGGGTCCAAGTGCACCACCAGCTTCCACAGAGATACCAAATATGCCGAATGTTCCTCAGGAAATGCCTGATATGGAGAGAGATGAAACCAAACCCAGCAATACCGATAACGACGACATTGATTTCGATGATCTATCTCGCCGTTTTGAAAATTTGAAAAAACGCAAATAAGCGCAATATTCTATAAAATTTTAAATATATTACATTATATGTTTGTATAAGGATGAAGTTGAATATTACCCATATTATCACCAATATATACTTAGTACATTGTTAAAAAGGTTATACTTATTTTTATTGTAATAACTCCTATTAAGAACACCGACCGATTTTCAAAAGCGATCGGCAAATGTGTTATCCCGAGCGTTTGAATGAATGAAAAAAAATGAAAAAGTTTTGGAACTTTTCCTTCGATTAATGTAAGTTCTTCAATGTAAAATGTGTTGAACTTTGAGAAATAAAATACGTTGTTATAGTAAAAATTTTTGACGAATATATTATCAAAACTAAAAAACTTCTTCGTTCTCCACCACTTCCTTTAGCTCGATTAGTTCAACAAGTCCTTTGCCTCTTGTTTCTTTTCGTATGAGGTCGTCGATAGCACGGTAATTCCCAGGATCTATAAGTAATGTCATATGCAAAGTGGCATCATCCCATTCTTCATGCTCAACTTTAGTAGCTAATTTACTAACAGACTCTTTTAGCCGATTGCCTCCCTCTTTACCAGCAAAAGATACACGGAGCTTCATGCGTGAACGCTCTAAAGGTATATGCTCACGGAGTAATTTTATAGCATCTAGTGTTTGTTGCTTTGCGTTTTTGTTCATTTTAATGGAAAAATGAGCGTCCTTCAACGCCTTTTCAATAATGGTTGCCGGATAGGGTCGACGAGTCTCAGGATTAACACATAACGCTGCCACACTGTTTATAATGCTATTTAATTGGGCATCTAGAACAGATTGCCGTTCTTTCTCAGATACCTGGAGTTCTCCTTTTGCTAAAATCTCCTGGCACACTTCGGTTTCATCACATTTTCCAAATGCTTTGATTAGTTCTTCCTTTTTTGCAGCTTGTCCTTTGGACACATTTATGAAAACAGTGTGAGTCTGAAGAACTTCGTCAATATCTTTTTCTCTGAATATAGATTTGAATACAAAAATTAAGGTCGTTACCAATAAACAGACTATTTCTCCTTGTACTTACGTGTTATTCCGCCAGGATAGTACTTTATTTTTGTAACAAGCAATTTCAAACCGTTTGCCACCTTTTTTTAGCCTTACAACTGCTACATTTGTTAGACGTATTTGGTTTGTTGGAGTAAAGATTTTCGACATAATGAAAGTCTAACTTATAAATTTTAAAAATCCTCTTAAGTTTTATTTTCAATTTCACATGCATTCAATAAGAACTTTTTCATACTGTGACGAACACGAATGCCAGAACCAAATACAATCGACGATAACCGCTAGAACCAATTAGACAGCGAAATTCGTAGTTGCCAGAATGTTCGAGTTGTAATCTATTGGTAGATAGGTTGGTAGGTAGGTAGAGTGTTAGAGTGGTTGTCTTACGACACACCTAGGTCTTTAGGAGGCCTATTGTGATGCTACCGGGATCAAAGTCCCCTCTCTATATTAGCTCTTCTTTGAACCACCCCGTGCTTCTTCAGCATGACAAGTTCGTCAAGAAACCCTCGACCGATGGTTGCGATTTTTTTCCTATAGAGAGGCATGCAATCGCATAGAAGATGTTTAATGGTCGATATTTGGATAACAATCTACTATATAAGGGCTGTCGGATTGTGCAACAAACACGTTCCACGATTAAGCTTCAATTCGAAAAGACGGCCCGTTCTAATAATTGGAACGCTTAAGATAAAGTAGCTGCATTGTTCGTTGCATTAAAAGGATCTGGAGCGGAGATATTACAGACCATGCCAAACTGCGAATCGAGTAGTTATGAAGCATTGATGGGTGGATTAGAAAGACGGTAAGGTAGTGAGCACAGGAAGCAGATTTTCCCAATCGAGTTACAAAATTGTCGTCAGAAAGCCAATGAGTCTCTGCAGGAGTTTTCTCCAGAGATTGATATATTAGCTCACTTAGCGTATACACATAAATCCATGGGGTTCATCGAGAACACAAAAATTTAGACCTTCGTTAATGGAATACGAGATAACACTACACGTATGCTCTGACACAAGAAACTGCATCTCTGCTTAGCAATCGAACATTTAAAGCGTATCAAGTAGAAATAGAAGGTCAAATCTCTGTGAACCAATTACTTGAAAAAATTTAAGAAAAGATGCAGAAAGTACCGGAAAAATCTACAGAAACGTATAAGAAAAATGATAGTGTGGTTACACGCTTCAACTGCTGAAAAAGTGGTCACATTGCACGCAACTGTAATCAATCCAATAATTCAGTTGGACGTAAATGCAAAGCAATCGTTAAACTAAAGCGAGCTAGCCGAAAAGAGCACCAGCTGGCTCTCGCAAGCAAATGCCTCGTAATCTTCAATACACAAATCAGCAGGAATACGAGTAACGTTACCGTTAGTAGATGTGTAGATGGCAAAAAGGGCATTCTGACTGTGGATACGGGTGCATTACATTCCAAAGTGAGACCATTAGCTGGGGCAAAGTAGTGTACTGCAGCTGGAGAAGATACCCAAGTTCTCGAGAAAATAACGTGCGCGATCGTAATTGGAAAGGCAGCCGTGGTACACAATTTTATAGTGGCAGATATCGTCGACGAAGTCAGAATTGGAGTAGACTTTTTAGCGAATCAAGGAATTAAAATTGACACGAAGAACAGGATTGTAACCTATACAAATTTGGAAGTTATGTTCGGTTACGATTAAAAGTAGAACGTTAGACGAGTGGTTACAGAGAGCCAAAAGATTCCACCAAAATCAGAAGCAGTTATTTGGGACTATGAGACAAGTTGTGGGTAGTTGAATCTACAAAAGAAACTTACTTATACACAAAACCCTGGCAATGACAAGAAATTATATATCTTGTTCCAGTAAGAGTACTCTATGAGTGCAAGCCACCAATCAAACTTTCAAAAGAAGCTATATTAGCGTAATTTCAGGAGATTAAGGCATGGCCCGAGGAACTAGAGGCAGACCATCAAAATAAGGCTAAACAACTCCTGCTAAGACACTTAACCATATTTGATAAAGACGAAACACAGGTGATGCAAGACTAAAATCGTTCCTTTAGCAAAACGTGAAGTTGTAAGCCAGACCATACGTGAAATGAGCCAAAGCGGCGTAATAGAACCATTAGCGAGTCCATGAAGTTAACCTGTTGTACTTTTTTGCGAAGGAATGCGTGTACTAAGTTTAATAGCGATATCTAAATGTTTACTTAAGTTACAGCTTGCACAAACAGAAAGACGGACAGATAGTTACTCGGAATTCATCTCGTCTTGTCATCCTGATCATTTATAAATATATAACCATATATCTATCTCGATTGGTTTTATGTAATACAAACAACCGTTAGGTGAATAAAACTATTGTATTCTGTAGCAACATGTTGCAGGAGTATAATTATGGTACAAATAAAACAAACGATTTGGCATAAACACTCACAAAAGTCATACTTGGGTACAACTAAAACGCAAAGTTAACCAATAAATACAGTTAAATTGTAAATGAAAATGCAGAGATGTATTCAAGCCCACACGCAAATAATAACGCACCAGCAAGTGCAACAGGTCTCTGTAAAGCCAATTATAAGGCAAAGAAACAATATTAAAAAATAGACCCGAAACTTACCCACTTTAACAGAAGAAAAAGGAACCCTCTATGGGGTAATTGCTTCAGTGGACCAGATAATGCAGGAGTATTACGCAGACGCAGACCAAGTGTTTCGCGTTATTTTTAAAACTAAAATACAAGGACAGGCTAGAACCGTGCTGAACATCAATACACTAACAACATGGATTCAATGCAAAGAAAAATTGGGGCATCACTATCGATCAGGGATGGGCCAAATGAGTTTGACGTGAAAGATCAACAATCTCAGAGTAATGAGTATTTGAGATTTTGATATCAAGGTAAGGTATATAGTTGAAGAAATAACAGATATAGCAGTATTTGAAACAAACGAGAACTTAGTAAACATACTAAGAGCATTATTAATCTAAAGAATGAAATGAAATAATATAATTCACCAATATGTATGGTTCTGATGAAAATAGATAATTCAGGAGTGAAAAAGTTTAGATTTTGTGTACACTATCGCCGTTTTTATCATGTGACAATCCCAGATAAATACCCCCTACCTCTTACGGATTCAATATTAGACAAACTGGGTAGGCAGAATATTTCAATACAATGGATCGGCCAAAGACATATTAATTTTTTTTAACAACCCTCAAAGAAAATAAAAATCCTTTAATTTGCTTGTAATATTAAATACGTGAAAGGAAAATACAATAAAGTAGCAGATTTCTTAAGTAGGCAGGAAACAGCACCACCTATAAACAATAACAATAATGACGAATCTAATTTAGAAACTTCAGGCTATTCATTCAAAGGACGAAAATGATGCAATATAAATTTTTTTATAAAAGACGAAATAGTATAAAATTACAAAACACAAATAATTTTAGCTTACTCCGCAAGAGATAGTAGGTTATAATCCTAACAAACATAAAAAAAAGATTATAGAAATCAATCCAGTAGATGAAACATGAAATAGCACAGAAATTATTGAATAATATATATAAAGGCAGATACAGGCCAGATACAGTATATTATAAAGTTCAATGCATCCTAACAGACATTTTTAAAGCCACAAAACATATTAAATTTTTTTAAATGCACAAAAAGTGCCATAGAAATAGAAAATGCAGATCATTTTCATAAACAAATGTGTATCTCATTACCATACAAAAGAATATCTTCACAGCGGCATGAATAAGACATTTTATACTCTAAAGCAGTGTTTTTCAATCTTTTTGATTTCGCGACCCCTTTACAGGTTGAAATATTCTGGCGACCCCCTTGTGTCATAGTAAGTCAAAGAAATAATTTAATTTTAATTAAAAGACTACATACGTTAGGTAATAAGTTTTTCCTATTTTGGCAAATTTATCTATTATTCGCGCGGGTCATACTGCATCGGCGACGGCGACGTTGCCACACCGCAAGACATGATTGTCGTTGCCGTAACAGCAAGCGTCCCGCGCGCGCCACCCCCAATGTTCTTTTGTTTCAACTCTCATCACTCAGTTAAGCGTAGTCGCCCATGAGTTCATAAAAATATAAAATGGATAAATTTCTCAAAAGATCGCAGCCTTCAACATCTGGTACGAGTCTCAATAGCGGTGGTGGTGAATCGAATCCGAAAAAAAATTGACATTATGATGACAGTTATTTGAAATACGGGTTCACAGTCGTAAATAATAAACATCAATGTGTAATTTGCGGCGATGTTTTATCACGTGAAACCGTCAAAGCGTATGCGGCATCTCACAACCAAGCACCAAAAAGAAGCTGATAAGCCGTTGGATTTCTGTGAATGAAAGTTGAAAGCTCTTAGTCAGCGCCCCACCCTTTTTTCACAATAATACTATTTTTATACTCTCGCAACATGTTGCTACAGAGTATAATAGTTTTGTTCACCTAACGGTTGTTTGTATCACCTAAAACTAATCGAGTTAGATATAGGGTTATGTATATATAAATGATCAGGATGAAGAGACGAGTTGAAATCTGGGTGACTGTCTGTCCGTCCGTCCGTCTGTCCGTCCGTGCTAGCTGTAACTTGGGTAAAAATTGAGATATCTTTATGAAACTTGGTAGACATGTTTCTTGGTACCGTGAGACGGTTGGTATTGCAGATGGGCGCAATCGGACCACTGCCACGCCCACAAAACGCCATTAATCAAAAACAAATAACTTGCCATAACTAAGCTCCGCAATAAGATACAAGACTGTTATTTGGTACACAGGATCACATTAGGGAGGGGCATCTGCAGTTAAAACTTTTTTTTTAAAAGTAGGCGTGGTCCCGCCTCTAATAGGTTTAATGTGCATATCTCCTAAACCGCTAATGCTATTATAACAAAATTCACTGGAAGCAAATGTTTTTAGCACTTCTATTGACGGTGTGAAAATAGTTGAAATCGGGTGGCAACTCCGCCCACTCCCCATATAACGGTACTGTTAAAAACTACTAAAAGCGTGATAAATCAAGCACTAAACACGCCAGAGACATTAAATTTTATCTCTGGGATGGTATGAGATGACTTTATAGGAGATAGCGTTCAAAATTAGACAGTGGGCGTGGCACAGCCCACTTTTAGGTGAAAACCCATATCTTGGGATGTGCTTAACCGATTTCAACCAAATTCGGTGCATGACGTTCTTTTAATTTTTCTATGTTATAGTGCGAAAATGGGCGAAATCGGACTACAACCACGCCTATTTCCCATATAACACCATTTTCAATTCCATCTGATTCTTTCACTTTCCACTATGCATATCAAGCAACAATGATTATATCTGGGTAAAACTTTGCGTGAATAATACGTTTAAAGTATGCCACCTTGTGACCAAAAATTGTCTAAATCGAACCAAAACTGTTCAAGACCCTAAGTACTAAATATGTGGACCCCAGTGCCTATAGTTGACCTCCTACCGAAAATATCAGCCAATCCACAAAGA